GTACCTCATCAACGCATGGCCCTTCCCAACCCATGACGGTGTGACTTCTCATCTATTCTCAATGACGTTGCAATGTGGTAAGGGAGGCGTTGCGAGTGCTGTCATTCGTAGTGGTCGGACAAGTTTAAGCTTTTTCAACAACGACGGGAGTGATCAAGGGCGCTTTTGCTGCCTCTCCATCCGTATCCATGGCCTGTTTGACCAGACTATTGTCCAAAAACTTTGCCATTCTCGGTTCCACAAAGATGGCTTTGGCTTGTACCAAGATCTGCCCATCCAAGCTTTGTATGCTACCTTGCACCGTGCACTTCCTTCCTTTAGACTCCACCTTCTCCGTCCTGACCACGACAAACTGATCCGCCTTGACCGGGGCTCTATAGTCCACTTCCAGCCGCGCCGTCACACCGACGTGATGAGGCAAGCTGAAAAAGGCCGTTCGTGCCAACGTCTCGTCCAGCACCGTAGCCAGCAAGCCTCCGTGTATCAAACCGTCGTGTCCGCACATGGATCTGCCCAGGTGAAGAAAGGCGTACGCATCTCCTTCGTGACCTCCCAGTGCTCCAGCTCCGTGTGGAGTCAGGCTCATCACCAACGGAGCAGTGGCGAACAATCCTGGACCACGCAGCGAGCCAGCAGTCAGGCTGTGCAGCGCTTTGGAAGCTGGAAAGCGTGCATAAGGACGAGACATGATGTAGTGTGCTGTATTGTTGGGATTGGCAGACTCCATGGGCGGTTCAGTGACAGGGTTAGATCCGCTTGCTAGTTGGACAGGCGCAGCAGAAGATGCTTGATCGGTTGATGATTGCAGGGGTGAGTTGGTAGTAGCCGGACTAGCGCTCGCCTTGAGCTTTTGAACTGCAGCCAAGGTGAGCAGCCTTCGTTCGATCTCTGCACAATGAGCGATGCCCGCTTCAGAGTCCTTGTCCAGCTTGGGAGGCGCGGGTGCTGGGTATAGCAGGCTAATGTAGCTTGGTGGATACAATGAGCCCAGCAAGTATGTTCCAGCTCCGAAAATGCCCAGCAGCGCTGCCCTCAGAAGTCCGCCTCCACCGCCTCGTTGCCCCTCTCGCGCACGAGCTGGGCTGCTGAATCTCCTTCGAGCTGTTGCGCTGCTAGCATACAGCCGCAGGTGTGCCGCATGTCTGGGATTGAGAATGCTTGGGCAAGCACATTCGACTGCTTGAGGCCATCTCGACGGGCCGAGAGCGGCGATGTTGAGCGCTGATGTTGACATTCTCTTTGACACGATCCTATGTACGTTGATCCAGAGGTGTGTTGGCAGCTTTGTATGAGTGCGCGTGACAAGCAGGCATGTAGTAGCCGGAGCTGATGGGCAGTCCAGTCAAGAGTGTGTGAGTGCGGGCCGCCTGGGCTCGGGTGTCACGCTTGAATGCGTGACCAAGGCACCTGTGCAAAAGATCAAAGATTGAAGATTGTGCCGACGTCGAAGAGAGCGACGCTAGACTAGTCCTGGTTGCAAAGCAATCGGAAGGTGCTGATTTCGACAACAAGATGCAGCGAACGACCTTTTCGATGGATACGCAGATCACCATGCTTCTAACTGATCGTAACGTGCACGCTTCGGTACCGGCCTCTTGGCTGAGCGGCGCGAACCGGTGCATTGTGATTCAAATTCTGGATTCTTGGTTCAAATCAAGAATTCACATTCGTGATTGTCTGCATCACGTGGAAGGTCAACAACATGACGATGCTTTGCGCGCGAACATGACATCGCTCGCTGCATTCAAATTCACGATTCGTGATCTGTTGATTGTGCGCGCACCTAAAGCGAGCTCACGGACACCATCGAGTCACGAGTCTCATCAAGGCTCAAAAGTCGACTGATGAAGCTTCACATTCGCCACTCCACGCGCCTCCGACCCAAGCCAAAATTCATGTGGCGACAAAGAGTCACGAGTGCAGCTCGCAGCAGCCAAATTCAGCGTGCGACGTGACATGAGGCAAGATCCAAGGCGCCGGACGCGAAAGCGGTACCGAAGCGACGTCAACAGCTTCTTCTCTTGCGCCGTGTTTTCGAGTGAACTTCCTTCGACGAGTGGCACCACAATGAGATCAATGGCGAGCAACATACATCAGTA